CCCCAAAACCCCAAAACCCCAAAACCCCAAAACCCCAAAACCCCTCGTAGCTGATATAAATATGAAAATATTATTCTTAAAATTAAATTAATAATGGAAGAAGGTAACACTATTTCTCTCCAAGAATTTGATATGAAGACCAAAACGATATCTAAAGATTTCTATAGATTTTAATACACTTTGTAAATTTACAATGGAAAGTTTGACAAATTTCATTGAAAGCTGAGTTTCTTTCCACAAACAACAGGTCCAACAAATCTTCTCAGATCTTCTCGAAGATTCACCCAAACTTGTCTTCAGACCAGTTCCTCCGAAATCAAAACTGGCTGATGCAGAGTAAGCTGCTGAGTAACGTTTAGGTTTTGAGTTTCGACTTCTTTCTTTCTCACACTCATCAACAAAGCAAACACCCAGATCAAGAGCCTAGAAGATTTAAAGCAAACTGACTTGATCAGTTTGGGAGGCTTCGTTGGCGCATTCACGATGTATCTGGATTCTGAACTTCAGTTCTGTGAGAACTTGGACTGGGTTCTATATTTTCAGCACAACAACGGATTTGTCAATGTTGTTCTTGCAAACAACTTAGTCTTTGATCGTTTCATCGATTTCACAAAAACCAGCAAACACACTACAGAAACCGCCACTCCACAGTGCAAGTGAGACACTTTGGGACATGTCGAGTCGGTCTTTGTTGAAAAGTTCGGAACTCCCAGACAAAGCTGCATGGTGCAGGGAGCCAAAGGGAACCTCACTCTGACAGATCCCCAACTCATCGAGGACTACAGAGTTTGAGTAGGAGCACACCTGCTGATTCTGTTTGTGTTCCACCTTGATGTGAGAGACTACAACAACCTGAAAGGAAAGATTTTACCACCGAAGCTACAAGGACACAAAATGGGAATCTTCGCAACAAGGACACCTCACAGGTTCAACCCGATCGGACTCAGCATTTGCAGAGTCGAGCATATCGAGGATAACAGAGTGGTCATATCCGGAGTTGACTTGGTCAACCTGACACCTGTGGTTGGACTCTCTGTATACTCTCATGACCACAGAGTTGATAAGTCTGTACTCAAAATACCAGAGTGGCTCGAAGACACAAAGACATCCCAAGTCAAAGTCAAATTTGACCAACATGCAGCAGACCATCTCCAGAACTATGTTACCAGGATATCTCAAAATTGCACCCAGAAGTACGGATTGCTTAATTTGTAGCCACTTCGAACAGTACAGAGAAACTATCCAGAACATTCTGGAGCTGAACCCACACACAGTCAGCACCAACAAGAAACTAAACTTGGAGATTGTGTATGCAATCCAACTCGATCTCGGTACAATTGATCAGGACACCACACAAGTCAGCTCAAGAAGTGATGGATCCAAACCAGCAGACATCGAAGAAAGTACTTTCAGTATGTAATGTGTAGCCAAGCGATCCACCCAGAAAGGAGTCATAAACCTGACTCACCAACAAATCAAAGAATGTGAAGAACTCCGAAGACATGAAGTCAAATTTGTGATGGACATGGCCACAGTTGGAAGGCCTGGAATTTCATATCTATTTGCAACACACCACTCGCTTTCAGACGAGTATTACGCAGAAAGACACAGAGTCAACCATTTGTGGGGATACACACACAAGCTCTACCAGTAATCACTTGGGCCTAACTGTTTAGGATGGAACACGAAGTGGGCAAGCCTCCGAATCTGACAGCTAATTACCAAGATAGATATGTGAACTTGGAGCCAATATCGGTTCAGGACTTAATCAATCATAAATATCCAATTATTTTGGCTAAGAAATACAAGACATCTGAAGAAGGAGAATTAAAGAACCCTGAATATATTTCAAATAATGGAGAAGGTTATAAATACAAATTTATGCGCTTTAACAGTCTCATAGTACGTGGAATCTTTGATCTAAACAAATGTACTAAGGTAGATGACTTTGATTGTAATATCATTCACTCTCATCGAATTCCTCCTCTTGATCTTTTTAAAAATTTATCAGATTTCCAATATATTAACAGGTTCCCATTTTCAAATCTTATTTCTGGGAAATAGCAGAGCCTATGAGAATTATATCAAAATGAAAGTTAAATTCAGCGATGAATATGATTATTATCCAAACTCTATTATCTTTCCAGATTGATATGATGAATTCACAGAAAAACTTGAAAGATTAAAAGAAAGAGGGCATCCAGATAAAGATAAATTATGGATTTTTAAACCATCCTTTGGCTCTCAAGGAGAGGGGATATTTATCTTCAATGCTAATGATTGGAAGACAACACCTCTAGCAGCTTTCAGAGACAGTATTTTTAAATCTGATCCACTAAAATTTGAGATTCCAAATAAAAGATTGAAAAACGTTCCAAAAGAAATCACCAAGGCGGTGATAAGCGAATATATCGATAAGCCTTTGCTTTATAATGGAAGAAAAGCTAACCTTAGAATATTGGCTGTTGTTACGAGCTTTATCCCTTTAAGGATTTATGTTCATAAAGAAAGTTGCATGAGACTCAGCACTGAACAATACGGAAGTGATTATACAAACTCAGAAGCACATATATGAAATTTCACTGATATGATTGAAGAGGAATATGATAGCAATGATGAAGAAGATAGAAGACCTACCACATCTTCTTTTTCGGCTTTCTTTGGAGATCTCAAAGACCAAGGCGTGGACACTGATCTTCTTTGGTCTCAAATATATGACATCATCATCAAAACGATTTTAACAATGGAAGATGAAACATCAGGCTTTTTAAAGGAAAACCCAAAGCTGAATCAAAATCTTTATGAACTTTTTGGATTTGATATTCTGATTGATGATCAGTTAAAGCCTTGGTTTTTAGAAGTTAATTTATCTCCAAACCCAAAAATTTCATCAAATTTAAATGGCAAAATCAAGACTAAACTGTATAGCGATTTATATAGCCTAGTAGGCTTCAAGAAGTTAGAAACTGGAACTCCAGTATCTGAAATCAACAAACTTGCTCTATTGGACCCTAAAACAGGTCTCTATGCACATAAAGATTCAGGCTCTTCTGAAGAAATTTCATCTGAACCCAATCAAACAGTTTTGAGATTCCATGATTTGACACTTACTGATGACCAGAAACAACAAGTTCTGACAAACATAACTGATGACCCAACTTTAACGGAGCAAGACAAAGCCTTCATGAGTCGGTTGTTCAACAATCCTTCCAAAGCACAGGTATTGTTCTGTCTGACTGTAGATCCTCGAGTCTCTAGCTGAGTTCCAGCGACAAAGAGACTTCATCAGGATTTTCCCATCTAAAGGCACTGACTATTACTTAGACAGGTAAGCCCCAGGTTGAGTGTAGGTTCTTCACCCACGACTTGCAAGCCAACAGAGACCTGTACTCTTTTCTGTACGAAGACCCTCACCCAGAAGTGCCTCCAGTCAACAGCAGTGTGCAGGTGGTCTACAAGTACAAAGTGGAGCAGCAAGAAATCAGAGGTAGGCAGTATCTCATCTGTAGTGCTGGGAGTACACTCCAAGTCAGACTTCGAAGCCAAAGGTAAGGTTCTATTTGAGTGTAGAATTGTTTGAACACAAGTTGAGGTCAGCGGAATGGCACAAAACAGCATTGAAAATCTTTCCAAATATCTAACTTTTTGATTCAGCATTAAAATGTTATGCTGGGGTTTTGGGGTTTTGGGGTTTTGGGGTTTTGGGGTTTTGGGG